AACTTCCTATGACATTCTATAAGTTCATGTGATTTTTTTCTTAGTTTTAGAGCAGTGTTATTTATTAATTATTAATCTTTTTTTTTTTTTTTTTAGTTTCAGAGGTAGAATTTAGTGATTCATCAGTCACATACAACATTCAGTGCTCATTACTTCCAGTGCCCTCCTTAATGCCCATCAACAGTACATTAAAAAGATTATTCACAACCAAGTGGGTTTTATTCCTGGGCTGCAAATCAATCAGTGTGATACACCACACTAATAAAAGACAAGAACCAGATGATCCTCTCAATAGATGTAGAAAAAGCATTTGACAAAATATAGCATCCTTTCTTGATAAAAGCTCTCCACCGTGCAGTTCATGTGATTTAAAGGCTCTCAAAAATTCCTCTTTCATTCTCTCTCAAATAAATAAATAAATCTTTAAAAAAAAGGGGGGGGGCGTTTGGGTGGCTCAGTCAGTTAAGCGTCCAGCTCCGATTTTGGCTCAGGTCATTATCTCAGGGTGGTGGGATGGAGCCCCAAATCAGGCTTCACATTCAGTGCAGAGTCCACTTGTCCCTCTCCCTCTTCTCCTTCTCTTTCCAACCTCCCCCCCTCAAATAAATAAATAAAATAAGTAAATAAGTCTTTAAAGGCTCTCAGAAATTCAAAACATTTCTAAGATGTGTGTACTGGTAGCAGATAACTCTCTACACTGTAAAGAAAAAAGAAAAACCACTAAATATCCAAATTAAGAAAAATGGTTAAATTATGTTCCATAAAACTGTACTTATGAAGAGTCTTTAATGATCTGGCAAATTGTTTATGAGAATGTTTATCAATAAAAGCAAACTCTGGGGATGCCTGGGTGGCTCAGTTGAATAAGCGTCTGCCTTTGGCTCAGATCATGATCCCAGGAACCTAGGATCGAGTCCCACATCCGGCTCCTTGCTCAGTGGAGAGCCTGCTTCTCCCTCTGCCTGCTGCTCTCCCTGCTTGTGCTCTCTTTCTCTCGCTCTGACAAGTAAATAATTTTTTTTTTTTTAAAGCAGACTCTGATAGTAGACCTGTTTGGGGGACTGCTGCCTAGCCCATGCTTTGCAAGTGTCCCCTCCTTTTACAAGTTGCCACTACTGTCCCGAAACGCTGTCTCCTGACACAGATGACTGAACAAAAGGGAGCACCTGACCCATGCTGAGCCAATCAGATACTCCAGTATTTGAATTAAGCTTAAGCCTGGTTCCAGAATACAAAAGTAGAGTTTGGCTAAAATCAGTGTCACAGTAATCCAAAGTCAAGAGAAATTGGGGAGCAGAAACTGAGACCCTTGCAGAAGAAGCCAGCCTCAGCACAGAGAATAGAACAGGCTTGCAGAGAAAAGCGGAGACAAAAGACCACACAGCTCCTGAGAAACAAAGGCAAAAAGCCTGAGGCTTTCCAAATCCCATGAGGTTCATTCCAGCTTCCTGCAACTGGGTTCCAAGAGACTCCTTACAATCAATCTTTTCTCTTAAATTTGAGAGCGTTTCTGTTCCTAACAATCAAATTAATTGACAGATATGAAATTATGTAAAACAGAAAAAGCATTAACGAAAATGTCAACTATTAATAGCACTTGTTTCTTAGTATAATTATGAGTGATGTTTTCTAATGTTTATAATTTTCTTTCTCGCCAAGTTTTCAACAATGAGCATATTATTACTCAATCAGGGAAAAAAAGTTGAATAAATGAGGCAATTCTGGATTCAGATAATTAAGGCTTTACTATATAATCAGGTAATTTTAGAGCTGGAAATGACTTAGAGTATATAAAATCCAGAGAATTTGAAACTTTGTTCCAGAGGACACATGGAATCTGTGGTGATGCTCTAGAGCCACTTTGTGGGAAAAGGAAGAAGCTGAGTACACCTCCTATAGTCAACACCTTTTATATTTTCTTTCCAACTTAAAAGATACCCTTCATTGTCCCCTTTACCAAGGACAGGGCCTAACAGACATTTTATGAAAAACGGGCCACTCCCCTAACCACAAAGGTCTTCATCTGATTGTTTGCCCCAAACCAGGCCTGAGTACCTTCCTCTGGTGTCTCCCCTCATTGAAGCGGCTGAAAAGGGCAACTTCACCACAAAGATTATAGAAGCTAAGGAAATAAGTTGCAGGGAGCATGAAGCATGAACAAAATCCCATGAGACAAGAGCATAAGCAAGAGACTTCCAAGTTATGGGCTCTAGCCATTTTATGAAGCCCCAACAGGTTTGTTCCTTGAGTATCTTGAAAAATCTATTGCCTTACAGCAAGTTTCCTTTTCTGCTTGAGCTATAGCTTAGTTTCTGTTGTCTGCAACCCAATATACACACACAGGCCCCATCTCAACCAGGTTAGCCATTGAGGTCCCATATTAGACTTTTATTTACACAGGGAACAAAGTTCCCCTGCTTTAAAAGAAAAAAAAAAAAGGTATTGCTTCTACTAGCACAACTTCATTTTACTTGTGAGAAAATTAAGGTTCAAAGGCCTTGTCTTTACAAAACAAGTTAAGGATTCTCTCCACTGAAAATGAAAAAGGGAATTTCAATACTTCCCAGATACAGACTTACATAGGTCTTACTGAGTCACAGATACAGTTCCAAATATTTCACCAACATTAATTTATCTAATTCTCACAGCAATGTCCTGATGCAGGTACTGTTACAGACGGAGTGTGAGCCAAGCATAGTAATATGCCCAAAGTCACAGACTCAAATCTAGGCAGTCCAGCTCTGGAGTCTCAGTTCTTGACTGATATGCTATACTGTCTCTTTGTTAAGGATTCAAGCTTAAAATTAACCAAGTGGTACTGTTTATGCATTTGTTTAAAATGTGCAAATGGTACTTTCTGTCACAACCGATTCTTACATCTCTTTCAACCCTAAAATTCAAAGATGTGATGTCACAGGTGGTTTCTAGGATGTTATAGTCCAAATTTAGTTTTTACCTATTCTTCAATTAATTTCCCTTTGAGTCTCCATGGTTGTGCATTATAGGAATTGGGGCTAGAGCTACTTTATGTCACTTCTCCACCACAAGTCTACGTTCACATTCTTGTCCCATTACAGCCACCCCACCTGTCCATTTTTGGCCTAGATAGGGCCATAATACAAAAGTGAAATATATTTTTCAACTATTTCATTATATTCATTACTAATTTGTGTTCCTTTTTCTTATTTTAAAAGTGGCAAGGTACAATATTCTATCTTTCTCACGAAAATGAAACAAAATTGTGTTGCAACCCATTTAATGTGTTTATCTTTCTTTGGATCCTTTATTAGGGAATGTTCCCTAACCTCATCCTATGCCTTCTAAAATCAGTGATTCTTAATCTGGGAACAGTGGAAGAGAAGATCCACAGATGACCCCCAGATAGTCCAGAGAAGTATATACACAATTTTGTATTAGCAAGCATTTTTGTAATGGAGTTCATATTTTTTAAAAGATCCAGGATGCAAAAAAAAGTCAAGAACTACTGACCTAAACTGTTCAGTAGCATATCCCATGGGAAATGAAATTCAAATTAAGTCCTTCAATGATTCACCTTTTTGCAGCATCTCAATTATGCTAAATATTGTTTATTTGGTCAGAAGAACATACTTATAAATTATGTCCCAAATGATGACGGTCTACAAGGATCTTCTTCAGTTACTTTAAAATACAATCAACAACGCACTCCTAAGTTTATGGTTAAATTGTATTTTACTACATATATAACTTCAGGTTAACATGTCAATGTAAAAGATAGATGACTTATAAATCTCTTAATTCAAAGTCTTTGGAAACTGTTGTTTGCCTCAATAAGATAAAGAATTGTTCATGTATTCATTCATTCTATCAAGTAGGTATGGAATACCACTATGTACCAGGCATGGCATTTGGCCCTATCTGCTTCTGTGATTTATTCTTGGTTCCCCTCTAAATTGTAGTCTAAATCTACAAATACAGGTTACAGCATTTCGTTCATATTTGTATGCCCAGCAACCAGCATAATGCCTAGATCTTAGTGGAAACTTAATGTGTATTGCACTGCATAATGATAAAACAGAGAAGACAGGTTGAATACAAAAGCAGTAGCTTCGCTTTAAGAAAAACCTCCCTGGCCTATTTTCATAGCTAACTCATGCTACTAAAGTCTGAATGAGGTGGTTCATTAAAATCTGTCATCATCACAAAAATAAACAGACAAAAATTTTCTAAACATACCTCCTTCTAATAAGGTTTTCCTTGGATATAATGACAAGCCATGTCTTATGCTACAAAAGGGACCCTAAACAATGTCAAGAATAAATAACATTCAAAGGCCTTTCAATAAGGCACCCTACCCTAAAGATGTAAAACTTGAATGATTCACAAGCAAGATGAACTATGAAACTATGTTCATCTTGATAACAGCTTTCAGGCCAACTGTTTCAGAAGCAACATCAAGGAATAATAGAAATGATTAAAAAAAGAAATACTAGAAATGAGGAACAAAAGGGGGAAATGGAGAAAATCATGCTGAGATAAGCATTTCGGCTCAGGCTGAGTGGAATGCTCTCAGAATTACTGGAAATAGCCAAAACGGTCTCGGAGTCTAAAAAGTTGGTTGTGTGAGGTTTGGCTATTATAGTTCACCATATGTCAGGGGCATTATTCGCGTCAACAAGTCCCCAACGTCCCGCCTGCAGCCTTCTCCGGGTGCCGCTAACCATTTTAGTTACTCCTATGACACAGGGTTAAAAACAAAAACAAACAGAAACCAACCTCAACAAGTATTTAGGAGGGGCCTAGAGATTACTTTTCACCCCTAGCCGCAGCCCACGATCCTCCCACGGGAACTGCCAATGGACCCTAGCCCGGCCGGACAGGCGGAGGGGCGGCCGGCCACGCCCGGATGCGCGGCAGCCGGGGTCCGGGCCCGCCGGGCCGCGGGCCACACGCTCTGCTGGGGCAGCCCAGGCAAGGGAACTTGGACCAGGCGCCAGGAGCAATGTGCGGCCGGGCCTCACCTCCACGGCTTGGCCCAGCTCCAGGTCGAAGCCCACCACACACACGCAGTGCAGCCAGGCCGAGAAGCCGTCCCAGCGCAGCAGGCCCCGGCCGCGGCCCTCATCCTCTTCGTCGTCCTCCGGCGTGCCTCCCGCCGCCACCACCATGGCCGGTGCCCCGCGCTCCTCGGCCGCCGCCACCGCCTCGTCCAACGGCCCGCGGGAGCCGGGCCCCGAGGCTGCCAGGCCCCGCAGAGCCATCCGCCGCCCCCTTGCTGTTTGCGCCGCCTCCACTGCAGACCGCGCAGCTGAGCGCCCCCGGCTCCGCGCAGGCGCAGCCGCCGCTGCCGCAGCCGCAGCCGCCGGGGACGGCCTCGGCCGGGGCGGGGCCAGGGCCGGGGCGGGGCCGTGGGCCACGTGACCTTGGGAGCCCGGCTCTGCGCCGGTGCACCCTTGGCCCCGCGCAGACGTGAGGTCCTCTTACTGGCGCTTGACTGGGATTGTGAAGCCCGCCCTGGCATCCTTGTCTTAAAGCTCTTCAAGAGTGGTTTATGAATCCTGATACCCTTCTTCGCAGTGCAACGACCAGGGGAGGAATTATTCTTGGAATGACACGTTCATAATTATAAGGTATTATTAAATTATTACCCATAGTGGTAACCGTGGTTAACATTTCCGGAACACTTACTCTGTATCAGTTGATGTGCAAGCAAGTACTTTACAAATATTTACTCTGTTGACTCTTCGCATCATGACCAGTAGGTAGACTTCATTATTTCTTTTTTACAGATAAGGAAATTGAGATTCTGAGAGGTTACATGACTAGCCCAACAAGTACTACAACTTTGATGACGCCTTTCAGTTCACTCTCTCCGTCTGCTGATTCAGAGATCTGTGCCTTCACTTAGCTGTTCCCTCTCCACCAAGGTCCCACCCACCTTTCTTGGCCCGGTTGCCTGTGACTCATTGGACACTCACACAACATCTGCAGTGCATTCTGAAATACCAGGTTGGCCTCCATAGCAACCTGTAGATCAGTCTCTCTTAGCAAGGGCCGTAAGGCAGCTTTGTGGTTGTGGTTGGTGTTTAGATTTTTTTTTTTAAGATTTTATTTATTTATTTGTCAGAGAAAGAGGGTGCAAGCACAAGCAGGGGGAGCGGCAGGCAGAGGGAGAAGCAGGGTCCCTGCCAAGCAAGGAGCCTGATGCAGAACTCCATCCCAGGACCCTGGGATCATGACCTGAGCCAAAGGCAGATGCTTAACCGACTGAGCCACCCAGGCATCCCTAGATTTTATGTTTAAGTAATTTCTACATCCAACTGGAACTTACAACCCCAAGATCAAGAGTTGCACGCTCTACCAACTGAACCAGCCAGGCGCCCCGAGAAGCTTTGTATTCTCAGGGATCAGCACAGTGCTGAGCACCCAGGAGGCACTTGGTCTATTGAATTATTACCGATTATTGGTCCAGCGTGATACTACTGATTAGGATTTTATTCAACACCTACCATGCAGAGTATAAACAGCACAATGAAAGTAAATAGGAAACACACAAGAATACCCCAGTAGAAAAATGAGTAAAAGACAATGGATAATAACTCACAATAAACAATTTTTTTAAGAAAATCACAGTTTCCATGCTTTTACACACATTATCTCATCTAGTCCTCCTAGCAACCCAAAAAGGCAGATCTCATTATTATTCCCCTTTTTACAGGTAAAGATTCTGAGGCTCCATGAGATGATGATGCACAGCCAATAGGTGGCCTAACGGATTTAAACCCAGATCTCTCTGAGTCAGCCTAAGCTCCTAAGCATTTTGCTGCAGTACCCAGTCAAATTTACCCCACTTGACAAACATTGTTCTATATACATCCTTAAGATTTTTATTTGGAGGGGCGCCTGGGTGGCTCAGTCGTTGGGCATCTGCTTTGGCTCAGGTCATGATTTCCAGGTCCTGGGATCGAGCCCCGCATCTCCCTCTCCCACTCCCCCTGCTTGTGTTCCCTCTCTCACTGTGTTTCTCTCTGTCAAATAAATAAATAAAATCTTTAAAAAAAAAGATTTTTATTTGGAGTGTTAGCATCAATATTTCAAGGAAAGGGTCAAGTATCATCAGACATCAACAGTGATGTTTGCTAGAGCCTATTTTTAGTACATACGTTGAACTAGGAACAGCATTAAAGTTAAAAGCCAAGTCTGTGGCCAAAGCAATCTGCCCTCCTACTCTAGAGAACCACTGTAGTTAAAAGAGAAAAACAAGGTTCTGCATTTAAGTTAGTCTTTAAACCTATTATTAGGAAAGAACAGTAGCTTTTATTATTAAAAACAGAATTAGGGCACCTGGGTGGTTCAGTCCGTTAAGTGTCTGCCTTCAGCTCAGGTCATGATCCCAGGGTCTTGGGATCAAGTCCCACGTCAGGCTCCCTGCTCAGCTGGGAGTCTGCTTCTCCCTCTCCCTCTCCCCCTCCCCACTGCTCATGCTCTCTCTCTCTCACACACACTCTCTCTCAAATGAATAAATAAAATCTTAAAAAAAAAAAAAACAATTAAAAAGAGCACTGGACTAGCAGTCAGAAGTGCCAGGTCCACCCATAATTATGGTAGGCAAGCTGCTCTAAGACTCAGTTTCTGCATTGATGAAATAGGAATGATCATTCCCAGCCTACTCATCTCACTGATTGTGGGGAAGAACCATGCTATCTCAATGCACGCATTTTATGGGTGCTACCTCATATAATAATTAATAAGCTTTAAACACTACTTGTTCCGCAGGGCTGGCTCTTTGACATGTGGTACAGACCGCCATTCCTTGAAATGCTGTTGCATAATTTGAATTAAGAGTAATCTTGTGGGGCACCTGGGTGGCTCAGGTGGTTGAGAGTCTGCCTTCAGCTTGAGTCATGATCTCCAGGTCCTGGGATCGAGCCCCTTGTCGGTCTCCCTGCTCAGCGGGGAGTCTGCTTCTCCCCCTCCCTCTGCCTGTCTCCTGCTTGTGCTCTCTCTGTCTCTGTCTCTGGCAAATGAATAAATAAAATCTTTAAAAAAAAAATAATCTTGCAAAATGTAACAACATATTAAAATGAAAACAACATGTTAAGAGGACTGTAAGTTTGATGAGAAAGATAGCACACCAGGGCTCTAAAACATCTTAAAGGTAGAAAAAAGAATGATTAGGTTTGCTTTGGAAAAAACTAGCAAACATCACTAAAATCCTCAAAATCCACAACCACTAGGAGAACAAAAATTGCCTTTTGCTTTTTGTTTCTTTTCATCCTCAAAACTTTCATATTTGACCTTTGCATCATCAATTTTAACCTAGTTGCTATGGTTAATACTTACATGGGGCTAAGGGGAAAAGTGCTAATACTTCCTTCTTAAGGTTCTGCATAGAACCTTTGATTCTGAAAGGATCTTGGATCAGGTCATCTCTCCAAACTTCCCATCCTATTCATGAATCTTCTGATGTTTGGTTAGCCAGCTGCCATTCTAACCCCCCCATTAAGATAAAGTCACTACCTTGCAAAGCTGCTATTTTCTGGTTGTTCAAAAGGGCAAGGAAATTCTTCCTTTTATGGAGACAAGATCGATCAGCCACTTTGTAATGTATACTCCTTGGTCTAAGTTGTTCTTGCTGAGATTACAAAGAAGGGTCCAACTCTTGTACGTGATAGCCCTCCCAATTATTGAAAATGGTTATCCCACATCCACATGCCTTCTGGTTTCCAGGGTAAACTCCCCCAGTTCCTCCTACTATTCCTCAAAGGATGTAGTTTGTAGGCCATTCATCATCCTGTTGCCCAACTGGGGCATACTCCAACTTGTTGACATCACTCTTAAAATGCAGTGCCCAGGAGGAAACACCATCCTCCAGGTGTGATCTGACCACCGCAAAGTGTACTATGGGACTATTACCTTACTTGTCCCAGCCGCCAGCCTTCTATTAATGCTGGTTCAGATCACATTTGCTTCTTTTGGCAGGCAGGTCACATCACTGGCTCATGTTGCATTCACTGTCAACTAAAGCCCTGGGTCTTTTTTCATATGAGCAGTACTTAAGTCAGGGCAGGCTGCTTTAGCCAAGAGTATGACTGGCTTCATGGCTCTGCTGCTCTTCTAATATTACCAGCAACACTGAGCACAGGATTAAAAACATTCCAAACTTCTCTATTCACCCCAACCAAAATCTTGGCATTTCAGCAATTTTTATAGTTTAAAAAAAAAGAAGGGGTGCCTGGGTGGCTTAGTCGGTTAAGCGTCTGACTCTTGATTTCAGCTCAGGTCATGATCTCAGGGTTGTGAGGTTGAGCCTGCATAAGATTCTCTCCCTCCCTTTCCCTCTGCCCCTTCCCACTCCCTCTCCGAACGAGGAGGAGGAGGAGGAGGAGGAAGAGAAGAAGAAGAAAAAGGAAAGGGTGAGCTTCTTTAGATAATGGTGTGAATTGCAATGCCAGATATCTGGACTTAATTTTACCGAAAGGGAAGGAGTCCAAGTGCCCTACATATCCATCTACGTAGGCAACCAGAGGACTTCCCTCTTACTTTTGAGTTAAATGCTGCTGCAACTGCTAGAGCATAAATACACTTTTGGTGGCAAGAAAATACACAGAGAAGTACACAGAGGATCAAGTGCCAGTGTGTTATCAAGAGAGACCGAGGTTTACCGCCACACATCTCTGAGAGGCAAAATGCCTAACTACATGTTTAGAAGAGAGAATCCAGGCAAAGAAGACAATAAAATACACTGTTGGGTGCTTCCTAAGTAGTGTTGGTGAAAGCTTAAAAAAAGACTGTGAAGAGCTTTGGGTTTTGTCTTTACCTTCCCAGTATCTCCATGACGCCTGGTACATGAGAGGCACTCAGTAAATATTTACTGAATGGATGAATATACTTTAAAAATCTCTAATTGCTGATCTCCTATTTTATAGAGTTTTCCTTTCATGGTCAGTATGAACACATGAGAAGTTAAAAAAAATGTTTCTTAAATGTAGTTCACTCTAGCTTATGAGAAATAAAGATAGTAACACTTTGCTTATTTGAAGATTTACTTTTCCAACTGCCTGACCCAGTTCGTACTAGGAGACAGGTTTAGTAAGCCCAACTAGCAGTCAACATGCGAGACAGAAAAGGTAACCCGTCAAGTTCATGCTCTTTAATCAGAGGTGTGAGACCTTCACTCATAAATTATTTTGTCTAAATTCACACAAAATTCTAACAGGTGTGCTTGCCTAGCTTCCCAGAGTAAGCAGCAAATAAAGAA